CAGAATATTTTTATAATGGTCACATGTGCTGCAAAAGGATGTAGGAACTCAAATGCAACTGGATCAAAAATGTGTAACTTTCCAAGAGATCCACAGCGATTATGTATAATGGCTGGCAAATTGTGGATTGGAAAATAAAAAGTTTAATTATTATGCTGCATTATGCAAGGTGCGTTATGTTTTTTTTACTTTTGTATAATTTGAAAAATTATTTACTGAAATCAGTAACTGCGGATCAGAAATAGAATAATAAAAAAGCTAAGTTAATTACTTCTATTTTTCAGTTTCACTTTACAGCTGACATGTGGGAGAAACAACAATTTGATGGATGTAAAAAATTAAAATCGTCTGCGGTGCTAACAATATTTGGCGAGCTTGTGAAGCAGCAAGAACGTCAGGAAATCATTAATAGTAAGTAAAAAAAATCATTCACAAGAATTGTAGTAAAAGAGTGTTGTTAATATACATATAACATTATGTGCGGTAACGCATCTGTGATGTTGCGGTCAAGTTTTTACAATTTTGTTTACAAAAACTTCTTACGACCTTACTTACTTCTCCTTTAATTAAGACTAAAATTCCTAACAGAGTTGTATAAAATATTATTTCTTTCCAGCGCCAACAATATTTATCGAAATTGAAGAAGAAGTTATTATATCGATACTAATTGTATCAGCAAATAAAGAAGTGGAAATATTACAAAGCGAACCCGAAATTACGAGAAGTCCAGCAGCTAATGTTTCCGACAAGAAACAGACAATGCTCAACACACAAACTTGTAGCTTTGAAAATTATGGTCCAGATGCTACCAAGAACAAAATCTTACATGAAGAGACTCATATTGTAATGGGTGAAACTAAGGGTAAAACTGAACATGAGTCGACTACTTCAGGCAAACAAATTTGAAAAAAATGTCAGCACATGATTAAATAAACAATAAAATAAATTATAATTCATGGTTATTTAAAACATATACTAACAATAAATATAAGTTAACATGTCAAGTCGGACAAATTGCAATAAAGTATAATGTTACACAAATCGATTTAAACTATTTATTTTCATTTCAATATGTCTCTTTTGCGATATATATATTTCGAAAAGGGTATAGCGGGTTAAGAAGATGATTTCAGGCCCCACACGTAATCGTTCGTCATAGTAGACAAAATGTCCATCCAGATAAAAGAAAATTTTGTGCCAAGTTTCATTTTAAAAAACCCGCACAATTTCGAAATATCACAAGAGATGTGATTTTTTTTGATATTTTTTTTCTCCGCCAAATTTAAATTAATTTTTACAAAAAAAATTCATGATTACAAAGGCTATCCATATACATAAGTTTGAATTTTGTTGTTGTTCTGTGCTGAAAATTCTGTTTTTAAAAAAATCCAGAATATTTTAAATCGCATTTTCTCTAGATCTAAAAAATTGGCCACTTTTTAAAAAATTCAGTAGATAAGTCTTACGCCATATTATATTCGATATTTTTTTCAGATTTTTTATTTTGTGGAACGTGGCGAAAAAAAAAATAAAAATCGATTTTTTTCTTATTTTTCAGCCTTAAATGTATTTGGTTGACATATATTAAATTGTTCCTAAATATAATTACTTACCTCTGATCTTATATCCTGCAAACAATAGTACAAAACTTTAATGTTATAGAGTTCGCGTAGTTTAAACTGCGAGGTTTCAATTTTTTTTAGTCGGAAAATCAATTTAACTGATTTTAGCAGTTCTTTCACTTTTTTAAAACAAAGATCAATTTCTAACTATATCATGCACATAACAAACATGATAAATAATAATTAGGATATAGATCGCGTAAGTGATAAACACAATTCAATTGAGAGCGCCTTAAACAGTCGAGACTGGATCTTGGCACCTAATAATTATTACATAAGACTTATCTACTGAATTTTTTTAAAAGTGGCCAATTTTTTAGATCTAGAGAAAATGCGATTTAAAATATTCTGGATTTTTTTAAAAACAGAATTTTCAGCACAGAACAACAACAAAATTCAAACTTACGTATATGGATAGCTTTTGTAATCATAAATTTTTTTGTAAAAATTAATTCAAATTTGGCGGAGAAAAAAAATGTCGAAAAAAATCACATCTCTTGTAATATTTCGAAATTGTGTGGGTCTTTTGAAATGAAACTTGGCACAAAATTTTCTTTTATCTGGGTGGACATTTTGCCCACTATGACGATCAATTACGCGCGGGGCCCGAAACACCTCCTTAACCCGCTATACTTTTTATGTTTTTTAATAATAGGTTCAGCAGATTTTTTTTCCTTTTACCTAATATATACTGCACATATATTTTTTTTGTTTTATTGTTTTAATTATTATTTATAACCGACCGCATATTCAGCACTGCTAACTTTACGGTCCACGCTACCCACACAGCACAAATGACTGTTTGCCGGCTAATAGTCGACTTTTTTCAGTCAAGTTAAAGCCGACTATTAAAGTCGACATTAAGCCGTCTATTTCTAGGTTGGTTTTTGTCAACTTTAACTGTCGACTTAGAGTCAACCATTTTTAGAAAATCAAAGTCGTCTTTTGCTGAATCTTTAACTGAATAATTACAAGACTGTCGCTAGATAGCGTTTGCTGGTATTTGTTTCTCGCATTTAAAATTTGTCGAACTCCTCTATATAACCAATGTCAAAGATCGGAAGAGCACACGTC